CAGCATATGCAACTCAGTATAAGGCTTCTTCAGGTTTTCTGGGAAGAAAAATCAACCCAGCAACCGATTAAAAAACCCCCAGTGTTACAGTATTTTTCGCTCTATAAGATGCACAAGACGCACCTATTTTTTGGAGGAGGAAAACAAGAAAAAAACACATTCTGAATCTCAGAAGCCAGAACAGCAAGAGGGATCGCTGCGCAGTTGCTGTTCTGGCTTCTGGAATAGCTGCGCAACCTTCTTGCTGTTCTGGTTTCTGGAATAGCTGCGCAACCTGCATTTGCTCCATAAGACACACACACATTTCCCCTTACTTTTTAGGAGAGAAAAAGTGAGTCTTATAGAGGAAAAAATACGGTAGTTTCCCGTCACTCGGTTAGTCTTTTATATAGCAACCAGTTTAAAAGTTTTCCCTTGATTGTCCAACAGGAAGGAAAATCTAAAGTAGGGTGCAGGTCTAGCTTGCTCACCCCTGTTTGAGCGTTCTACTTACTCGTGAGTAGAATGCTTGAACCAGAGAGGATCTTGCTTTGTGCTGCTGCCTAAAGATGCTGAAAAACGTGTTTCGGAGAGAGCCCTGTCTTAAATCCCGCTGTCGTCCGTCAATCGGGAAGCCTTTTCTAGGAGATTGACACATTCAGAATTCCCTTCCTGGAACCACCAGGCCTGGCAAACGTTCCCCCCTCCTGCCCTGGCTTCTCCCAGCCAAAGGTTGTGTGTGTGGAGTACTGTGAGCCAGCAAGAGTCCTTTAGAGGAGGGGCATTGGAAGAGTTCAGTATCCCGCCTGCTCCCACCGCACCTCTTGCCAAGCAAAGTGTGAAGGGAGGCCAAGTTTTCCATAGTTGTCCTATGATTCACACCGCACTTCCTCTCCTTGCCCTTTCGGGGCACCGGCTTGCGGCTAATTAACACATTCAGGGGTTCTGCTCAAGCAGAAAGGCCAGGAGGGTGCTTGTCTGATGAGAAGGATTGGGGAACTGACCCAGGAAAGAGACGGGGCAACGCTGTCTGCATCTCCTTCTTCTCCCTCCCAGCAAGTCAGGTTTGCTCTTCTTTACAGCCATAGAAACGCTGCCCTCTGGGCTGCTTTCATTTACCTGACCCCAGGTGCCCCTTCCAAGGGTAAAGAGAGTTTAACTATTGAGCAACAGCGACAACAAAAATTAGCAGGAAGCACAAAAGGAATTGCTGAGCCGGCTTTGCCTCTGACCTCCGCCACCTTCTCCCGCGCAATTGGGAAGATGCAAATCTCTTTGAATGGAGGTGACTTCGCATCTCGGTGCAGGCAAGCCAAGGTGGGCCGCTGGGGGTCTCCCCGTGAAATGAAGCCCTTTGCAAGGCTCCAAGGGGAGATGCGGCGGCTCCAGCCTCCTTTCATGGCTTCCTGGTTCTGCTCGAAAGACTGTCTCATTGTCTTCCCTCTGAATGGGTCTGTCTGTCTTTTAATTAGGGATTTCGCTCTGCGCAAGAGCCCTTCACAGGCCAGGCTCCTTCGCCTCTCTTTAGCGTTCTCTGTTCCTTTCCAATTTTCTGCCCCAATTTGACAGTCTAATTTCTCCTTGACTTCCAGCAGGAAGGAAGGAAGAAGGAAAGCGAGCCAAGCAGAAAGGAACCTTACGTCTGGCCCTTCATTGGGACAAGGAAGTAGCCAGCGCAGGAAAGTTCTGGAACTCATCCTTGACGGTCAAGGCCTCCTCCAAAGATCAGGGCCAGACTTTGGCATTTACTGCCGCATTCCATCCCAGCTCATCCTTACAAGCCCACTGCCTCCTTCCTGTCCCCTCAGGCTTGTCTCATGCTTGGGGAACATGTTCTGCGAGGGCCTAGCAGTTGCCATGCATTCTCCTCCATCTCCTCAGCTTTTGGAGAGTCTTTGCTCCTCGGTTATGGCAGCTAGGATGACCGATATTTCTGAGCTGTCTTCAGACAGCCCCACATCGGTCCCATCCACAACATTCCTTTAAAGTATATAAAGTCCCAAAGAATCCTGGGAACTGTAATCTGTTTAAGGGCATTGGAAATTGTAGCTCTGTGAGGGGTAAACTACAGTTCGAAGGATTCTTTGAGGGGAAACCACAACTGTGATTTAAATGCATGCTGTGGATGTGACCCCAATACACTACAGTAGTACCTTGGTTCTCGAACTTAAACTGTTCTGGGAGTCTGTTTGGTTTGAAAACCAAGGAGCGGCTTCTGATTGGCTGCAGGAGCTTCCTGCACTCTACTGAAAGCCGCGGAAGACTTTTCGGACATTCGGTTTCTGAAAAGTGTTCACAAATTGGAACACTTATTTCAGGTTTGCGGTGTTCGGGAGCCGATTTGTTTGACAACTAAGCCATTTGGGAACCGAGGTACTGTAGCCTTATTAGACTTTACCGACTGGTGGGGTCTGCGTTGCTCCTGGGAGGGAGGAAGGAAGTCAAATGACACCGAGGTTGATTCAGAGAAAGAGTTTATTCTGCTCTCCGGATAGCAGAAGGCACTTGCGTGGTCAGTCCACAGCAAGTCCAAAGAAATGAGAAATTTCATGCAGTATATATATCCTCCAGGCACCCTCTCCCCTCTTCCCCAGGAATCCAGCCACGTCAGCTTATACACGCAGGTTGACATCACATATGTTCCTGCTCCGGTACTCTTAAAAGGGTTTTCCTCTTCCTGTACTCTTGACCATAAAAGGTTGTTCCTGTTCCTATACTCTTATCTTGGGGCAGGAGGTCACCAACTCCTGGCGCCGTTCCCGGGTCTCTTGTCAGACTTGACAAGGTCTGTGCGTCTTTGTGGTCTTTGTGGTCAGGATGTAAGATAAGACCCAGACGCGTCATCCCTGCTCTACTGGAACTGGCAAGGCCACTCATTGCCGTCACGGACTGATAAGGGAGAGAGCTTTGAGCACTTGTGTATACAGCTGGGTTTTGGCTCAAGAGCTCAGGTTAGAGCATTTTAGAAATGCTCCCTTGGAGGAGGAAAAATGGGGATTTTGGGTCAGTTTCAAACTGACTGCACAGAAACCCATTCCTTCAGTACCACTGTAGACATGTTTGGAAATGGCTACAGCACGCCACTCCAGACAGGTCTGATCAATTGCCTGGTCAGCAGTGGTGATGGTGAGGATCATCTCACGATGGCCTCATGCTGCCTTTCCCACAGCAATTCTTCTAGAGCTGGGCCGTGTTGGAAAATAACAGTGTGCTCCAAAATGTGCTGTGTGTTCAGCCTGCCTCATGCTCAAACTTTGAGTACGTAAAGGCAGCAGGAAGCAGAAAGAAGGACTATTAAATAAAATGTGTGGGGAGGAAGCCATGTATGGCACAGGAAGACTGTACACTGAGATAAAGGACAAGGGTGGCGCTGTGATGTAAACCACTGAGGCTCTTGGGCTTGCCAATCAGAAGGTCGGCGGTTCAAATCCCCGTGACGGGGTGAGCTCCCATTGCTCTGCCCAGCTCCTGCCAACCTAGCAGTTTGAAAGCACGCCACTGCAGGTAGACAAATACGTACCGCTGTGGCGGGAAGGTAAATGGCATTTCTGTGCGCTTCAGTCATGCTGGCCACATGACCCGGAAATTAATAATAATAATAATAATAATAATAATAATAATAATAATAATAATTTATTATTTATACCCCGCCCATCTGGCTGAGTTTCCCCAGCCACTCTGGGCGGCTCCCAGTCAAATGTTAAAAACAGTACAGCATTAAATATTAAAAACTTCCCTGAACAGGGCTGCCTTCAGTTGTCTTTTAAAGACAGGATAGCTGCTTATTTCCTTCACAGGGTGGGTGCCACTACCGAGAAGGCCCTCTGTCTGGTTCCCTGTAACTTCACTTCTCACAATGAGGGAACCGCCAGAAGGCCCTCGGCGCTGAACGATGGGGGTGGAGACGTCTGCAGAAAAATGCTGGCTCCCTTGGCCTGAAAGCAAGATGAGCGCCACAACCCATAGTTGCCTTTGACTGGACTTACCTGTTCAGGGGTCCTTTACCTTTTTACCTTACCCTGAGATCGCTTAGGACCTCTAGTTGGCTATCTGTGGCTTATCAATGGTTGCACTTCAAGATCTATCAGCTTGGATACATGTCCATGCTCTGGTGATACTCAGCAGAACGGCATCCTTGTGCAATCGTCCGCTCAGCAGCATGCAACGCCCCACCGCATCTTCATATGCGTACAGATCCTGAACCTTAGAAGTGGTTAATTTGGTAAGATTTCTGTGGTTGCTGAATGGCCTCTTCAAAGAGCAACAGGCCCGTGACAAGCATGTTCGAAGTAAGTGGTGTGGTTTTGATGTCTTGTCTGTTGTTTCCACCTTGTCTGCTACAATCTGTATTACTATATGAACACGAAGAATGCTACTCAATAGGAATGACCCATGGTGCCGGGTTAATTCTGTTTACAAAAGAATAAATATTATAGCAGTGGCTTATAAGAGAGAATCAATAGCTTCCTTTCACTAGGTGATCCCTTCATGTCTTCTCAAATTGATTTGCTCCCCCCCCAGCAGCACATCAGCATAACGCCGTGGCTATCTATTACAGGGTGACGGGGGGGTCAGGCGATTATTGAAGTATATCTGAATTTACAATATTAACGACTAGCTACGGAGTGTCCGGAGGTTCGTGGTGAATTAATTATCTGTTTAAGAAGCCATGAAGAAATCAATCAATGAAAATTTCTCACTCTTCTGAGAGAGCGAGGGAGCTTGTCAATTCTTCTTCTTGGTTTTTTTTTTTTAAAAACTTGTATTACATTTAAAGAGACAGAATTTGCTTTTCAGGAGGTTGCTCTGCTGATGTGATTGGCTTCACTTTGGTACGCCTCTTGCCAATGATGTGCAGGGGGGCACACAGTACAAAGTGGGTACCGTGAAAGAAATGTGTGGCGCTCAGAGCTTTACAGCAGTGGAAAAGACAGCTCTCTCTCTCATCACTCCTAGTATCCACAAAGGAGTGGGTGAAGTCATAGAATCATAGAATTGTAAAGTTGGAAGGTCCAACTTTCTGCAATGCAGGAATCTTTCTTGACGCTCAAACCCACAACCCTGAGATGAAGAGTCTTATGCTCTACCAACTGAGCTATCCCTCAGTTTCTGGAGTGGTGCTATGCTGCTAAGGACACAAAAGAAACCTGCTGCTGTTGTTGTTTAGTCGTGTCCAACTCTTTGTGACCCCATGGACCAGAGCATGCCAGGCACTCCTGTCTTCCACTGCCTCTCGCAGTTTTGTCAGACTCATGCTGGTAGCTTCGAGAACACTATCCAACCATCTCGTCCTCTGTCTTCCCCTTCTCCTTGTGCCCTCCATCTTTCCCAACATCAGGGTCTTTTCCAGGGAGTCTTCTCTTCTCATGAGGTGGCCAAAGTCTTGGAGCCTCAGCTTCAGGATCTGTCCTTCCAGTGAGCACTCAGGGCAGATTTCCTCCAGAATGGATAGGTTTGATCTACTTGCAGTCCATGGGATTCTCAAGAGTCTCCTCCAGCACCATAATTCAAAAGCATCAATTCTTCGGTGATCAGCCTTCTTTATGGTCCAGCTCTCACTTCCATACATCACTACTGGGAAAACCATCAGGCCAATGGCCCATGAAGACTATCATCCTGTTCTCACAGTGGCCAACCCTCTCAGAAGGCACAGAACTCTGCCTGGGGCCTATTCCATCACCACTGGGAAAGAGCAAGTCAGAAGAAAAGTGGCCAGAACTGTGAATGGCTACAGAAGGGAAGCAAGTACCAGAGACCTTCATATCTGCTACCGACGGTGAGGTTGCCATCTACAGAACTGCTTTGGTCCCAGCCATTTTGCTAGATCTCAAGGAGAGAAGAGGGGAAACTGGGCTGAGGTGCAAACAGAGGTGTTTGCCCAGGGAAGGAAAGATGGAACGAAGGTACAGCGCTGCCAAGGGTAAGGTGTGGCAATGGCTATGTTGGGAGAAAGCCGAAAGCCAAGGGTGCAGGGACAGCAGAGCACAGCTGGGCTGCATCCAAGTCCCATCCCCTGGACTAAGATCTATTATTCTTACATTTGCCCAATTTGACCATGATGCTCAGAAGCACTCTTAATCGAATGGGAAGAGTAAATCTAGAGGACCCTACATTCAGAGGGCGTGGTGGCAGTGGCATAGCATGGGCAGGGCCACAGGGGTGGTTTTCCCTGGGCACAAAATTATTCGGGGCGCAAAATTTCAAAACAAAAAGTAAGTAGTTATAACAAAAAAATAGCACTCCCTCCCACTCACACAGAAAATCTCCCAATGTTTGCATGGGCAGACTGAGGAGCAGATTTGGCTGACAGACAGTTGTTAAGGTGTCCTCTGCGTGGACTTTAGAATGGTATCCATTCCTGACCAATCCCCTGTCCCACTCTCCGCCATGTTTGATGCTCATGAGCTGCCACGGCTGCCACTTGGGGAGCTGACTGAGTTATTGTCCCTTTGTTCCAGCCTATCAGTGGGTGGTGCTGAGGATAGTCAACTTGCCCCGGGCACCGGCAACCCATGTTATGCCACTGCATGGGGGTAGCCGTCTAGTTGTGCTAGTGCAATAACTTTTAGCTGGGCAATCTGAATTCCCTACCCTCTCCTCTCTCCATGTACCTCCTAAATCTGATTCAGTGGGCTGGGGAAAACCCCAGAGGAAATTTAGGGGGGGTACTTTGGGAGAGGAGAGGGCAGAGAAGTTACACTACGTAGCCAAAAGTCATTGCACTAGAACAAATGTTTGGTTGAACACTACCCAATGCCTTTGCCTAGCTTTCCTTCTTAGGAAGGGTTGCTTCCCAGGCCTCATGAATCTGCTGGAATGAGTTGAGGTGATCCCTCAGCCAGCAACACCCATACCTGTAAACAGAATGGGAGCAAGAGCCCATATTAACACAGAAGCATCTGTGCCATTACGCATCACGCAGGCTGTCAAATTGCCGCCGCATTTTGGACTTCTCCCCACAGCACGTCACAGCAAGCCCTGGTGCAGCAGGCTCCATTGGCAGCTGCCCAAAGGCAGAGAGATGGAGAGATCCCTTCTTTGCAGATCCATGTCGATTTGGACTTGGCTATGATGCCCAAAGGGACGCGGGTGGCGCTGTGGGTAAAACCTCAGTGCCTAGGGCTTGCCGATCGCATGGTCGGCGGTTCAAATCCCCGCAGCGGGGTGAGCTCCCGTCTTTCGGTCCCAGCTCCTGCCCACCTAGCAGTTCGAAAGCACCCCTAAGTGCAAGTAGATAAATAGGTACCGCTTTATAGCGGGAAGGTAAATGGCGTTTCCGTGTGCTGCATTGGTGCTGGCTCACCAGAGCAGCTTCGTCACGCTGGCCACATGACCCGGAAGTGTCTCCGGACAGCACTGGCCCCCGGCCTCTTAAGTGAGATGGGCGCACAACCCTAGAGTCGGACACGACTGGCCCGTACAGGCAGGGGTACCTTTACCTTTATGATGCCCAAAGCAAATTCGGCGTTTGGTTCCTCCTTCGCTTGGCTTCTAGTACAATTAAACCTAGCAAATGTGTCTGCGTCGTCCTATAGTACTAGGGGAGGCACTTATGCAACACCAAAAGAGAGAGAGAGAGAGGTAAAACATGGATTAAAAAAATGCATTTCCTAATTTATATGTTTAACTGCAAATTTAGAAATGATTAATTTAAGCAGAAATACATCTTACCATGGTTAGAAAGACTGTGGCCAGGTCATCTGTGCGTCTGCTCAATCTGCTTTCTAGGTGCTAACCATAAGAAGTGAGGAGGATAAGGGCCTTGAAGTTGTCCATCAAGAGTTAGCACAAGCTTCCTCAACCTCGGCCCTCCAGATGTTTTGAGACTACAATTCCCATCGTCCCTGACCACTGGTCCTGCTAGCTAGGGATCATGGGAGTTGTAGGCCAAAAACATCTGGAGGGCCGAGGCTGAGGAAGTCTGTGCTAACTCTTGATGGACAACTTCAAGGCCCCGATTGTCCTCCCTTCTTATGGTTCTTTCCCCTTAAACCAAACATAGACACACAATCCTTCAAAGAGAAGACTGTTCTCTGTAAAATAGGACACACGAACCCTTTTTTCATATGTGGTGGACTTCTAAGAAAGCAAAGGTATTTTGGGAAATGATATATGATGCAATAAAAAAAGATGTTTAATATCATCATAAAGGTAAAGGAACCCCTGACCGTTTGGTCCAGTCGCGGACGACTCTGGGGTTGTGGCGCTCATCTCGCTTTACTGGCCGAGGGAGCTGGTGTTTGTCCACCAGCATAACTAAGCCGCTTCTGGTGAACCAGAGCACTGCACGGAAATGCCGTTTACCTTCCTGCCAGAGTGGTACCTATTTATCTACTTGCACTTTGACGTGCTTTCGAATTTCTAGGTTGGCAGGAGCAGGGATCGAGCAACGGGAGCTCACCCTGTCACGGGGATTCAAACCGTCGACCTTCTGATTGGCAAGGCCTAGGCTCTGTGGTTTAGACCACAGTGCCACCCGCGTCCCAATATCATCATACCCCTTCCAAAAAAACCTGAAGCTTTTCTACTAAGCATTATCAGGACCGAAGTCCCCTAAAAGATGATTAAGCTGTTTATGTATGTTACAACTGTAGCTGGGATTCTTTATGCACAAAAATGGAAGCAACCGGAAGTTTCCACGGAAGAAGAATGGATAAGTTAAGGTGATGGACTATGCAGAACTGGCAAAGTTAACAACCAAAATAAGAGAATTAATGACAAAGGTTTTGTGGAAGAATGGAAGTCTTTTTCGGACTATTTAAAGCAGGCATGGCCCTCCAGATGTTTTGGGACTACCATTCCCATCATCCCTGACCACAGGTCCTGTTAGGTAGCGATGATGGGAGTTGTAGTCCTAAAACATCTGGAGGGCCAAGTTTGGCCATGCCTGATTTAAAGAAATATTATTATAAGCTGAATATGTGATCAGGATTTGAACTATGAGCAGCTGAAGAATTTAAAGATTATAGCAGTGTTGTTAAGAAATAAGAGATAGAAGACAAGAGTGCAGCAGAGGGAGAGAAATAAAAACACCATGGAAAAGAGGGTGGGAAGTTGACAACAACAAATAATTTTTTTATTATGCATTGAAATGTATGTGTTAAATTTTTGGACTAAAAACATGATAAAAGAGGACACATGAACTCTGAAGAATCTGTCCATTTCGGTTTATCTTAGTTTTTCATATTTCCAATCTCAAGTTCAGTTTGCATTAGATGTGATTTTTTAAAAATAAAAAAAAATGCACTGAAAGGTTATAAACTTTTTTTTTTTGCGTTCATGTGTCCTAATATATGCATTTTCCTATGCAGTTTTGCCTAACACTAAGCATTTTGTACATTGTGCATACTCGTATGTGTCCCCCCAAAAACATTTTTTGTTTGGAGAATTGTGTTGCAAAATTTGGAGAGGCGTGAATTTTGTATGAGAACTTCCTTTCTGGTTCACGCATAGGCTTGTCTTAGTTTTGAATTAAAATGTAACCAAACAAATCCCGCTTCATCCCAAATCCGTAGTCTCTGGTTATTCCCAGATTGTTGTGCTTGTTCTTTTGAGTCCAACCCTGTCTCTGGGTGGGAAACGCAATCTGTATTTCATAGAGCATTTGAGGCCATACCCATCAATCTGCAGAGAGATCAACATATTTCTGACCGCTGTTTATGAGCTATATAAACTTGCTGCCCCAAGTATCTGATCAAGCAGAAGGGCACCCTGGCTGTGACTGCTTGGTTTCTCCTTTGCCAGGCCAGTTGCTAAGCCCAAATCTCAAACCTTTTCACTCCAGTGTCATGATTCAGCATGATACAGTTTCTGAATTTCAGGAATTCCTGGCGTAGAAGTGAACAGGTTTTTCATTATTGCCCTTCCTAATTTCTTTCCTCTCCTTCACATGCCCTGCATTCAGGCTGTTAAACCAGTTTTTCTGTAGCACTGATCACATCCCCTGGTCCAGGCTGATCCAATGTTTTGTCTTCAGGGAGAAAGGAGTTTCAGCATTTGTCTCAAATCAAGCAACAGATCCGCTGAGCTCAGACCAGATCAAAATAGGCAGCACTTTAACCTGGCATGCATGTATAACGCAAAAGATGAAACGTCCTTTC